GTATGTGGCTGGTGCTTTAGCCACTTGAGCCACAGGCACCGAGCCTTGTTTTTGTTTTTTAAGACAGGGTCTCATTCTATTGCCAAGGCTAGAGTACCCTCACAGCAACCTCAAACTCCTGGGTTCAGGCAATCCTCCTGCCTCAGCCTCCCCAATAGCTGGAACTCTAGGCACCCTCTAACACCCTGCTAATTTTCTATTTTTCCCAGAGATGGAGTCATGCTCTTGCTCAGACTGGTTTCAAACTACTGAGCTCAGGCAATCCACCTGCCTCAGCCTCCCAGAGTGCAAGGATTACAGGCATAAGCCACCATGCCTGACCTAAAATAGCTACTTTTATTCTCATTTTCCTGGCAAAAAATTGCTGAGCTCTGAGAGAGGCAATGTTCAGTCTGGGTGCACACAGTAAGGTACTAACCAGGAACTTTTGCCCTGCTCCACCCTCTTTGCTTCTGGGATCAATTTTCCCTACTGAAGGCTCTGAAGAGCACTGCTTTTGCAAAGCTTTGTCCCCTGACAAGGGTAGGGCTGACATGGAGGTCCAATGGTGAGCCTTCAGGGATGGGGTGAAACTGCAGCATGAGTGATAAAGGGTAAACACTAACAACCATCAGCCTGACCCTAAGATCTCCACCCCTGTCCCCCACCTACTGCCGGCCCCAGCTGGGACTGATGGAGAATCAACCTTGGTTTGTTCCCCTTGTGGGAGAGGTTTGGAGAAGGAAACTGACCTCCTGGAAATCTTTGTCATGGCTATCTCCATAGTAGCCCTTGTAGAAGGCCAGTTCCTCCTCGTCCTGTGACGTCACGGTAGTGACAGGCACCACGCCCACAGGAAAATCCAGCATGTTGTACAGGGTCACGTAGGAGGTGCTTTCTGAGGGAAGATCCAGATAAGCGCAGGACGTCAGCCCCGAGAAGACTCGGCGGGGAAGAACGCGGGTGGGCATCTCTGCCCACCCTTCTCAACCACAGCCCTCCCGCCAGACTCGCCAGTGTCTTGCCAAAACGGAGGAGGGAAGAGCAGAACCGTCACTGCAGAAGCCTTGCCCAGTACCAGGCACTATTCTGGCCTCCGCACATTGCTGATTCCTTGAGTCCTCTCCACCCCTTTGCTATGGGATAACTATTCCCTGTGGACAAATGAGGACATCCAGGAGGCAGACAGGCTAGGTATGTTTTCTTTTTCTTTTTTTTTTTTTTTT